CTTCTTGGCATTTGGTTCCACCAACAATGGTATCCTTCTAGAACAAGTCAGTTTCTCCAACCTGGTGCCCTCAAGATGTGGTACATTATAATAGACTCAACTCAAAGTGCTGTTTCTGGTGGGTTTTTTTGGGGGAGGGTGTATATGTGTGTGAGAGAATGTCTGAAATCTTATTTCCTTCCACATATACCTATCCAAACAGCAAGGTTTCTTTTTGGAGGCCCTGCATTGATTGACTTTGCCAAGAAAAGCAACATAGTTGGCAAACAAGAAGTCTACCTAAGGGGTGCCCCCCCTTCCCAGAGAGCCTTGCCGGTGCCACATATATTGCCCTTAGATGCCAAGTGAAAATTTTATATTCTCCCACAGTTTTTAATCTTTACATTCTGAATTACAAATATCATGTATAAACACACCACAAAAGCGGGTTTATTGTTTTCCTTGATGATCATTCTCATGCTGAAATGTGTTGTTTTGCCACCATGTGGGAGTTTGGTACTAGGTTTTAATATTTTATGTTTGACAGTCCACTTAGAAAAACTATTTGTCAACCTGTATGACTGCATAGCTCAGTGAGTTAGTTACCTGGCTGTAGAGCCAGAACTTCAGAGTTCAGTTCCCCACTGTGCTTCCCAGCAGAAGAGCCAACCTATGTAGCCTTGGGCAAGCTGTACAGTTCCAGAATGTCTCCTGAAGAAAGGAAGGGCAGACCACTTCTGAGGACCATAGAAGAAAACCCTGGAAAGGGTCATCATAAATCGGACTCAACTTGGCAGCACATAAATCGCACAAATAAGCCGAATGACTCAGGCACTAAATACTGATTCCTGATATCATAGTGTAATTTGAAGCTAAGGATCTTTTGTGACTTTGAGAGCCTTGTGAGGATACAAAGCATATTCTAATTCTTTTAAATACATGCAAAGCGCTTTGGTCTCTCTAAAGCAATGACCATTCGTCATGCTTGCTAGAGCTTTCAGGAATTCGAGAATATTTAGGATCTCAAGTTTGGGAACTACTGTATAATTACTGATTAATCAGGTTTGGATGGAAACAAGAGGGGTAGTTCTCACAAGCATGTGTTTAATAATATTTTGAGAACTCTTGTGTTGTTCTCTAAATAATATACAGTACTATTGACATACAAAAAAGGTAATCAATCCTCTTCTTCTTCTTCTTCTTCACCTTCTGAACTTCTGCAGACATAACATAAAGAAAATTATATTAAAAATGCACCCCTTAAACTGGATTTCCTTCCAATGAGTCTGGCAAATTGTTCTTCCGTGCCTACCATTACCAGTGTTTGAAAATAATTTATTTAAAATAATTTATTATTCTTATTCACAGGTTTTTGTCAGTAATTAATTAAAATTCATTGGCAGAAATCCTGTTCCAATGTTACACAAAAGCCTTATGTTTGGAAGCAAATAAATTAAGAAATCTCTGTAGACATTAGCTGTTGAATGCCGAGGCAAGCAATTCCATAATGCTTTTGGATATTTCCTAAGATGCAGCAATTTCCTTCGAAATATTGTGCAACAGGCTTTCAGACTGATGATTATTGTTCACATTAGATGTATTACTGTCATTTTCAGCAGTTCTACTTGATATTTAAACAATTAGGGCTGAAATCCTGTTGTTTTGCTATGCCCAGGTATCTCAAAGTTGTGCAAGTGGTTGCAAGATTTGTGCCATGATGACAGTGACATCTAATGAACAATTCCAAAGGCACAGCTGCACAACCAGTTGTGCAACAATTTGTCCAATAAGGCATGCAGTGTGGACGCTCTGGAGAATCATATAAATGAAAGTTATTTCCATAATGATCAAATGTCAGTAGCTTACTACTACCACCAGGACCGTTGATGACATTTCCAAGTTCTGCCCATTATTATGACAGAGTAGAGTTGGCAACACAGACTCTCTGGGCTATGGCTTCAATTGGTGACTTCTTTCAAACGATGAATTTAAGCCAGGTGGCACACTCTGAAGTCACCCGTGGAAATCTCGAGGAACTGCTGTGTCTATCTCTGGGTCTCCAGGAAGGGAGACAAATAGCAGAGAAAGCGGCAGTGGAAGACAACATAGTCTGAGGTTGTTTTAAGGTGAAACCAGCACCTGTCTCCCCAAATGTCCAGGTGGTGCTGGGACACAGTGGCTGGGCAGGAATGGATTTTGACATTGGGAAGCCAAAAAGTCCACCATGGGGGGAGAGAGTTTGGGGATCCATGTGCTTGGGCCCCTTGTGCCATTTGGAGAAAGGTGTGGCCAGTGCTGGTGTTGTAACTTGTGAGCCTTGTTGGAGAATTTTTGCCCTCAGAGCATGCCAAAAAGAGAGAGAGAGTCCCCGTCAGTCACCAGTAAGCTTTCCACACGCCCCAGGAAAAGCATACAGTCCAGCCAAACTCCACTGGTGCGGCAGGCAAGGCAGTGCAGGATCTGAGCTTTAGCAGCGACAGCAAGGGCTGCTATCGGTATTGGGCACGTTTTGCCAGCTGAAGGCCTGCTGGGGAAAGGAAATCCCTGGCTCGGAGTTGCCTTGTTACCTGATTGCCAGACCTTCACCCCAGTTCTGGGCCCCTTTACTTGGATTGCCTCATACCCCTTTCGACAATGAGCTGACCCCAAAGCCGTTCTGCCTAACCCTTCCTTGTCCTCTCTGTGTGTTGTCACGAGGGCCTCCTCCCCAGGATGGGTCAGGAAATGGGAAGCGGCTGAACTCACAACCCTAAACCCAAGAGAACTCAGTGGGGGACACTGCCAACACAATGGTGGGTCAGGGCGGGCAGCTTAGGAGACCCCTGTCTCCTATGGTGTCACCATGTCTGTCTAGCAGGACCCTTCAATCTCTTCACAGCTGCATGATGTCTAAGAATGGAATGTCTGTTACCCTTCTTTCTCCTTCACAGATATTAAGTGTGGAGAGCCTTCTCGGTAAAAGGAGGTGGCAACCTTACATGGCAGAGAGGGACAGTAATCCATGAAGTATGGTACACACAGGGAAAAGAAATCTGCACCAGAAACAAGAATATACTGCGAAAGACCAATTATTTTTCTGCTCCATTTGCTGTGAAATGTTTGATATTTCAGCACTAGAAAGACAAAAGCTTTCTTTGCTAATAGAATGAGGGACCAAATCTCTGTTGGACCAGCTGTCAAGCAAAAATTCAGCACAAAGGGATTACAACCACAGTGAAGCAAATACGTACCTGGTGCCCTCCAAATGTAGCTACATGACAACTGCAGTTCCCATCATCTCCAGTGGCTATGCTGGCAATAATGGGAGTTGCAGTTCAAGGCATCGGGAGAGGACCAGCTTAGGGGAAATAATAACATGGCCCTGGTTCCTGAATTAAATGATAAAAATCCATGTAATACTACAAAGAGTTAATTCCCTCTGCTTTCTCTCAAATAATTTGACCTTTAACACATCCACTGCTTTCCCTTCTCCCTTCCTCCTGCACATCCACTGCTTTCCCTTCTCCCTTCCTTTTGTTCTCTTTTATTTCTTTTCTAGTAATAAATAACTCAATTTGCTTTTGTCACCTAAAGATATGAGTAAAAAAAATTGCTTTGTAACATTAGCTGTCTACCTCAGAACATAAATTTCCAATTCATTCTAGCCCAGCAGCTTGGAAGGGAAGAAACAACCCAGGTTTAGATACTGTGACTTACGGTTTCTTTGAAGTCCCTTCGCTTCCCTCATCACCCGAAGCCCTGAGGAAAAACAGTGAATAGCAGATGTTGAGAAGAATTTGCGCCACCACAGCTGCTGAGTCTCGCTCGCTCACTCCTGAGCACCAGAATAGGTGCTTCTGTACCTCTCCTTCTCCACTTCTTCTCCCGTCTCTAGCATTCAACTCTATCCCTGAAGCCTTTTCCCTCCTTCACGCCTGATTCTTTCGCTTCCACCCCTAAATTCCTGCCACAGGGCGATTACTGTGAGTCAAACTCCAGCAAGAAGCAGCTCTTTCCTCCGGTGATATAATCCCAATCAGAAACTGTTATTAACACTGGTCGCTGGATAAGAGGCAGTCTTGCCTCAAACCAGGTGTACACAAGCTCTAGGACTCCCCAGGGGCCTCACTGCATGCAATGAAACAAAACTGAATGTGGCTGGACACCTCTTCCTGGTTTTATAAATGCACTTTCAGGGAGGGAAAAAAACCAAGGAGTAGGACCTTGGTTTGAAAGAGAACTCCTGTTCTTGGACCAAAAAGAGGCAGAAGGGCTGCCCGAGGCCTGTGGGCTGCATGTGGTCTACCCCGTTCCTCCTAAGCAACTGGAAGTTGCGTAAAGGCAAATACGTGGAATTCCATACAGGCAACTGAGTGAGCAAGCAGAGGAAGGAAGACCCATTTTCATGCCCAGCACAGAAGTGTCAGCCTCTGTTGGCCTCAAGAAGGGTGGTGCTTGTTTGACCACGGTCAATCCCTATCGTTCAGCAGAATACCACCTTTGTGGTGGCTTTGCCACTTCTTTTCTCCCTGTGCTTTGTAGAGAGTATTAAAGCTTGAGGGCAAAATAAGAGTATTTTTTTCTCCAAGCTCTGAGGAACAGAACTTTTTTAATGAAGTAAAAGAGCTTATAGCACCTTAAAGACTTAACAAGCTCTATTTGGAATAAGTTTTTTTTGGGCTGCACCCCCCTTACCAGACAAGTAGTTCATGAAAGCTTATGTCAATTAAAACTTGCTAGTCTTCAAGGTGCTGTAATAATCTTTATTTTTACTGCAACAGTTACCCCTTTGAGAAAACTTTTCTGTCTGTACAGACTGAGCTTTTCTGTCTATACAGACTGAGCAAGGGGATGAACGTGTGGCAGAGTTAATTATCATAAATGTAATGTAATTCAAATAAGTGAGGGTGTGTTTTTTTTTGGTTTAATTTATCATGGATCTGACAGGCTTACTCCACACAGAAAGCTGCCTTACAGACCAGTTGTTAAGGTCAGTTGAAAGAGAAGGGGGATACAGCCCCTGTTTTATTACAGTTACTTACTCCAACTTTGGACTTGAGGCTTCGCCTGTGTCCTCTTCAGTAGAGGTTGGTTCAGCTGGTTCAGGAGGGGGTGGTGGCGGTGGCGGCGGAGCCCTGACAGAGTGAGAAACAGGCTTTCAGGAGAGTGGCCCTACTGGGCAAGCTAGCTGACTGGTTTGCAGTCTTGCTAAACGCTGAAATCTGCTCAGACCAACAGTGCCCTGACACTGCAGCTTTCAAAAATCAAGTTTGGACTTCAGATCCAGTGACCGTGATGACTGGGGGAATCTGGAAGGAGGAGCCTCATGGCGCAGTGGTTAAACTGCTGTAATGCATCCAGTACTGTGCTCCCGACCCACGTTTTCAATCCCAGGTAGCTGGCTCAAGGTTGACTCAGCCTTTCATCCTTCCAAGGTTGGTAAAATGAGTACCCACTCATTTGTAGCCTGCATAGTTAACTTGTAAATTGCTCAGAGAGTACTTTAAGCACTATGGAGCGGTATATAAGCAGCACGCTTTGCTTTTTAATCCAAAGAGGAAATTAATTTTTCCCAACTTGGTGTAAACAAATAATGCTGACTTTGTGTGCCCAAACAAGCCCTTAGTCACCCCAAGTGGCACACTCTTCCCAAGAATTACCAGGAGGCTTGACCCATATGAGATAATTTCGCTTCATGTCTGGCCCATGTTCTACATGTATTTGCAAAGTCACTGGCCTTTGGGTGACGTAGGTGTATTTTGTAGGTTGGCTCAGGCTTGTTGCACCCTCCTCCCCAGCCTTATTAATCTGTAACTATGTTGGCAAAAATCACTGAGGGGGCAGCCTGCTTGGAATAAGTTTTACAAAAATAAAGCCTTGCTTTTTAAGATCAGGACTTCCAGAATCTCCAGGCCACCGTGGGTCTTAGCAGTTGTATAACAGTGACAGACTCCAAAAGGAAGCAGGGTAGTTGGGAGGAAATGTTTTGTTTACTGAGACCCTTAGATCACCTGCCTTGGCATATGTATGAGGGTATTTGCTTACACAAATGGGAGTTGCTAGGAGGCGGAGCCAGAGAAACTAGAAGAGAGGGGTGATGAAGATAAGAGCAGTTAGTCAGAGATAGTCAGGAGAGAGTCTGAAGTGAGACGTCAGGAGTTAAGGGAGGCAGTTGAGAGTGTGGAACTTTCTCAGCATTGCGATTGATTGATTGATTGATTGATTGATTGATTGATTGATTGATTTGATTTTTACCCCACCCCTCTAGACAATGTCTACTCAGGGCAGCTTACAATTAAAACACATCAATATATACTGTACATACTGTATATAAAATCATAAAGATTTACAATATTTACAATTATAATTACATCTACAATTACAAGTTTAGCAATGGATTACCAACCAAGACATAGCCAAGATGGCATACCATAAGGGAAAAAGAAAAAGAAGGAGCTAGGGATAGAGATAACTTAATTGACTGGAGGGAAGGCCTGTTTAAATAGCCAAGCTACTCTCACCTATTACTCCAAATGCCTAGTGGCAAGGGGATAAGTAGTAGCCCAGATTTAGGTAACCCTGCAGTTACTCACAGTTTCTTTGAACTGGCCTTTTTCACAAGAGGCTCTTCAGGTGGACGAGCCTCTCTGTCAAAATCAGGAAAAAGAGAGAGAGATAATTAACCAAAGTTTACAGCTTGTAAAAGCTGTTCTCACCCATTCCCTTGTGCAGTCATGATGCCCAAAGTTGTCTTCAGCAACTGTTTCAATGTTGCTTCTTCATCATCATTTTTAAAATTATTATTCTTATTTATGTGAATTCTATTTGTTGCCCACTGATCTACTGTTTCCCTTTGCAGATTGTTTTGAATGGCATCAGGCTGCTAATCTGTGCCACAAAGGAGAAAACTGAAAGGCATAATTTATAGCTCAGGTTTTGCATCTCTTGGGAGTACTTACATTTTTACGGAACTGCGCTTTTCCACAGGAGGCGGCTCGGAGACTACTGGTGGTCTGAAAACCAGAAAAGACCAGAAGTTTCATTGAATTTGCTATACAAGGATCAGGTCTCAGGTTTTATCTAATATTGATCAAACTCTTACTTATTGTTTATGCTTATTATAAATAACCCACAATATTTTGGCTGATATTGCATAATTCACTGCCAGAGTTTATGCAATTCCACTTGCAGAATTCCCCAATAGGATTCTGTCCAGCAAGTTAAAGCGTTGGTTCATCTTGTCCAGGTAATCCCTATTCTGATTGGCTGTACAGTGGGGTCTTGACTTGAGGACTTAATCCGTATTGGAAGGCGGTTCTCAAGTCAAAAAGTCTGTAAGTCAAGTCTCCATTGACCTACAGTGCATTGAAAACCGATTAATCCCGTAACAGGCCGTTTTTGTTCCATTTTGGTTTTTTTCTGGTCTGTAAGTCAAATCTCAGTCTGCAAGTCAAACCTAAATTTTGCGGCCAGAGAAGTCTGTAACTCAAAAAGTCTGTAAGTCAAGCCGTCTGTAAGTCAAGGGTCCACTGTAATCTGTTGTTTTTTTTATGGGTTTTTCTCCCTGTTTTTTTTCCTTTTATTATAACAAACAAACATACAAGACAAACAAAAACATATATACGGGGAGGTAATTTCCATATATCCACCTAGTACAGAATTCTGAATACATAAACCATATTACCCTACTAATATATTTAGACCATTATTAAGCTCAAAACGTTACTTCCTAACTTTATAATGATTAACATACATACATTATCTAAAATATGAACTTAGACCTATATTGATCTTACATTCAAACAATTCTATTGTTATATTTAACATGAGACATTCTAGTTTAAGATTTTTATATGCTTATCTATTACCCATAAATGTGAAAATCAACAATTACTAACACTATAATATAGTATAATTGTATCCCAGCATCCTTATTATATCCAATTAAATGTCAAAATAGTGGTGCTTACAAATCAACAAAAATCGGTATTTTAAAAAGAAAAAGGTTATCTATATATAAAATTTTAACTACATAGTCATACTATGATTCATATATTACTTAGTGTTTTTATATCTCTATCTTGTCATCAATAACTTCTAACAATTATATTCAACATGAATATTCTAATTTAAAAGTTATATGCACTTATCAACCATTTAAATCGTTCACTGTGAGCCTGGCCAACGGACAAAAATTAAAAGTTGCTGCAGAAGGGACAGTCTTTATACCAGGTTTGGGACAGAAATTTGAAAATGTGCTTTTTGTTCCACAGCTGGACTGTAATATTCTAAGTGTGTCTGCATTAGACAAGCAAGGCTATGCAGTAATATTTGAAAATGCAGAATGTAAGATTAAGAAAGGAAACTATGTTTGTGCAAGGGCAAAACAAGAGAATAATTTCTATGTATTGAATTGTAAAACACAAAGTGATACACATACAATTGGGAGGAACACACCACAACATGACCAGTGTGCACATTTGTTACACAGAAGACTGGGTAATGTGAATTTTAGAACACTTCAGAAAATGCAAACAATGTCAAAAGGTGTTAAATTAAAGGAGTGTGGAATTGGAACCAATGTCTTCATGCAGTGCTTGATTGGCAGCAAGTGGGTTTTCAAAAGAAAACTACAAAACAATGGGGATTTTAGATACAAAACGAGGTTGGTGGCTCAGGGCTTTACACAAAAGAAAAATCTGCATTATGATGAGGTGTTATTGCCTACTGTGAAAAGCAGCTGAAAAAAGAATTTAAATTGAAAAATTTGGGTCCAATACAAAATTATTTTTTATTAAGACAAAAGATGAAAATTGAGCAGATGTTGGAATGATACAATTTGCAAGATTTTAAAAGTGTACAAACCCCTATGGTTATAGATTTTCAAAAGTCTGATGGAATAAGAAAGAGTTCGAAAATCAAGAAATTTATCAATCTGCAATTGGCAGTTTAATGTATTTAGCGAATTGGACTAGTCTGGCTGATCCATGTCTATATAAAAAAGAATATGGAAATGAACTGACCAGACATTGCAGCAGCAGTGAACATACTGAGCAGACATGTGTCTAAGCCAACTGTGAAACACTGGCAAGGTGTAAAAAGAGTATTTAGATACTTAAAAGAAACAAGTGACAAATGTTTATTCATAAAGCCTTCAAAAATTGTATTTAATGGCTTAGTGATTGGGCGAATGATGAAAGTGACAGGAAGTCAATGTCTGGATTTGTAGTGATGTTTGCAAACACACTAGTAGGGTGGAAATCTAGGAAACAAAGTTCAGTTGCTACTTCAACAGCAGAAGCTGAATTTGCTGCTTTATCAGAGCTATGTTCTGAAGTAGTCTGGTATAAGCAAATGATTAAAGATTGAAACACATAATGCAATAAAGGTATTGGAAGACAACACAACTTGCATACAAATGGCTGTAACAGAAAAAAATAAGAAATAGGAACAAACATGTAGACATTAAGTATCACAATGTGAGAGAAGCCATAAAAGAAAAGCTGATAGAATTACAGTATTGCAAAACAGAGAAAACAGCTGCTGCTGACATTATGACAAAACCTTTGAATGCACAGAGACATGATGAAATAACCAAGGAATTGGGTATGATTTCTGTTCAGGTGTAAATTAGGAGGGGTGTCAGAGTATTGAAAATTTACAGGCCTGGACAGAAGAGAAGCATTGATGAGCTGCCATGATATCCAGGTGTGTAAAATGCTGAGTCACAGTGACTCTGGAGAGGTGGTGCCTGGATGATGCAACACCTGCTCTGATTGGGCAAGGGCAGATACTCAAGTGTATATATATGAAATGTACAGAGAACATGTATTACCCTTCACTTTGATGATTCCATGCTGTCATGCTGCCGCTTTGTATATACACGTGTCATGCTGGAGGAAGCTGAACATGTCTGCGTAAGTTATTTTGCCATCAGGACCTGAACACACTAACTCTGCTGGATCTTTGTGGGTTCGCGTTAACAAAGTAACTTTCCAAATTTTGTTATATTTCTCAGCCCCATGTATAGACCAGGGATCCCAAATTGCTTATAGCATTATAAACCTAGAATTAATTTCTTGCATCCTTTTTACCACTTTTGAAGTGCCATCTACAACATCTCTTTAAGCCATTTTCTGTCTGATTTACTAAATTTATCTCTCTATCAATCCTGTTCTGACTTTGAGGCCAATCAGTATCTATTCTGTAATCAACATTTTGTTGCCCTTCCAGCTTCGCCTTCCCACTTCCCTGCTTTGAGTGTTCTCCCATCAAATTAATGTCTATTTTTGGAGTAATTTTCTCCTTTATATGCATCCCTTGTTCATCCACCTGACCCTCCCTCTCACCAGACAAATTCATTATTCTGGCCTCCTTTTGGGGGGTTTTACCCTCCTTCCTAACAACAGATAAAGCCACTCTCTCTGGTGCTGCCTCTGCTTTGATAGGCTGGTCTGGTTTCTTCAGATCCTTTTCTTTTCCATTCCATCCTGAGAGCAACGCCTTAATTTCAGAAATCTGGGCTGTCATGTAATTAACAATGTTCATTTGGAGCTCCTGTAGAGCGTTCTTAATGTAGTGCGCCATTGTTGAGTTGGGTAGTGTACTCTCTGATTCCTGGATATGAATCTCACGTACAGAAACGCTGGCTGGTCTGGTTTCTTCAGATCCTTTTCTTTTCCATTCCATCCTGAGAGCAACGCCTTAATTTCAGAAATCTGGGCTGTCATGTAATTAACAATGTTCATTTGGAGCTCCTGTAGAGCGTTCTTAATGTAGTGCGCCATTGTTGAGTTGGGTAGTGTACTCTCTGATTCCTGGATATGAATCTCACGTACAGAAACGCTTTCTGTCGCAGAGAAAAAAGTTCTTCTATTTTCTCCCAAAAGCCCACCAAATCGGCTTGTTTAATCTTTCCTCCAGCCAAGAGCTGTAAAATTGCTCAGTACAGCTCATAATTTATTATTGCTATCCCAGGCTCCAACTTTCACCACATAGCTCCAATTGTAGATCCAGCCATGACGAAAATCCACCTCTCGCTGCACAGTTCAAGATCGCTTAAGTTTCTCAGCCTTCTTAGAATTCTAATTTTGTATTGTAAAAGTTATTCCATCTATCAGAGTACAGGGGATGAGAAAGAAAAAGTCTCTGTATCCGTGTCTTTATCTTTTTACAGAAAAATATAAAGAAAAAGTATTAACAACAGCGGACCGGTAGCTGGTCAGGAGCGTTCCCTCCGCCACTTCGGTCTGTTTTCTTTTTCCTTTTTCCTTTCCTTTCTCCTTTTTTATTTAGTTTTCCTTACCTTTGAATTGCTCTCCTTCACTCGGTAAATACTCTGTTGGTCTGGAAGCCGGCTGTTGATTTTGTGGTAAACGGGAGGAGAAGCTGTTTGGTGTGGCTGGCATGGCAAGACAAGGTTTCCAAAGTTCACTGGGAGTTTGAGAGCCTGGAGTTCCCCTGGAGCCTGGGTCATGAGGCTTGAAGGAACCCCATGTTTCTGGGTCTGGAAGAGCTGACCCTGCAAGGCTTCACAAGGCTTGGTGAGCCGGCACTGAGAGGTTCAAAAGACGTGACCCAGCGCAGCGAGGCTTGGAAGAACTCGCTGGCTCAGAAACCGTGCCAGGGAAAAATTGAAACTCGCCTGAAAGACTGCAAAGGCTTGCTAAAAAGCTCATTGGAAGATCGAAACCAATGTCTTCCGCCATTCTTACGGGACGTTCGCAAAATGCTTGCCCAAAATGGGAGAAGAGGATCTGCTGGAGACATTGCAAACGGCCACCGGCGACCTTCCCTTCCCTTGCAATTCCGTTTGGATCCCACGATGCTGAAACATGCAAGCCACACAGTTGTTGGGGGGCGGGCAGTGCATACCCCAGGGGTGGGGGGGGGGGGGGGGGGGATTGAGAAGTGCCGAAGTGGTCGCTGGAGTCTTGGAGTTGGGAGCCTCTTTGTGGGTCTCTACTAGGAGCTGGACCTGAGAGACTTGTTGCAGAGCCCCGTTCGGAGCTGAGAACTCTCATTATGGGGTTTTGCTAACTACCATACTCAGCGAGGGCTCTTCTCCTGTCCTCCCCCCACAAAGAATTATAATGGGAGTGTTATTTTGTCTATCAGTTCCCTCCCTATTTCCATCTCTCCTTCTAATACTGGATCACGCTCCACTCTTGAGTCAGTGTTTTACTTATAATCTCTGCTCCCACAAACTTATAAAAGTTAAATTTAATACCAACAACCTTCTGGGAAGAACAAGAAAAAGACCTACAGCCAGGGTGCAATGGATCAGGACCAATGGTGGGGGGGGGAGGAATTGTGGGTTTACTTATTATTGTTTATATTTATATTTTATTTACAGATTTAATCTTTTATAGTGTTTATTTATATTGTTTTATTTTATTTTTATCTTATGTTCTATTACTTTGTTTTGATATATTCCTTTTATTTATTTACTTTATTGCTTTCTTTTTACTCACTCTTTACTCACTCTTATTGTAACAGGCTGTCACATTCCCAAGGGTTACAACAGCAGAGTCCAATAAGCCAGTCCTATGTCAGGCATTCAGGGAATGCAGAGCCGATATCCAAATACCAAAGCCAACTCACACAACGTAGTCCAGGGTCAGAGTCCGAAGCCAAAAGGCACAACGTAGTCCATGGTCAGAGTCCAAAGCCAAGGGTCCAGGGAACAAGGTTCAAGGTTGTCAGGAGCATGGATGTAAGCCAGAGGCTTCCCTTGTTGCTTCCACAGATTTTCAGCCGTCTGAGAGCTGTTTATATAGTAAAAACAGCCCTTGAACTGCTGGAAGCCTTTTCATCCTGTAAGAACTCAGGGCTAGTTGATCGGATGTTTCTGCAGGCAGCCTTCAAATGATCCTCTGAACTTTTTGTCATAAGTCTTCCCCGAAGCCTGGCCCTCAGCCTGTCTGCTGGGGGAGGAGAATCTGGAGGCAATTCAGGTGTTTGTATTTCTGATTGCTCAGCATTCTCCTCAGCTACAGTTAACCCTTCAGGTTCCAGATCTTCGGCTGCACTCATGACAGTGTGTGTGAGCAGAGCCGAAGAGCTGAGAGGCAGCAACCAGCTAAGGGGCGGGTGGAGGTGGGGCATTTTATTAATAATAAAATTTAGGCTTCAGGCTGGGGCCTGTTCACAGGGTGGCGGGCGCTCTCTCTGGCTTGAGCTTGGGCTCGGGCGGGCATGGTGTTACGGGATGCGTTCCTTGGGAGCCTGCCGAAAGGTAAGCCAATCCTCTCTGCCTTTCTTTGTGCCTTGCTGGTGCAGATGGTACTGGCGGCAGCTCCTCCCTCCCTGTCCACTCTTCTCTCACTACCCCTCCATTCTCCCCTCCTGCCTTCCTCAACCTCCCCCCCTCCGGTCTCCCTTGGGGGCTGGCAGTGTTGTGTTCTGCTTTCTCAGCCAGAGTCTCCTCCTCGCCTCCTCCGCTGCTCTCGACGAGCCGCCACGCAGGGAATGGGTCAGGTGGCTCCTCAGACAATGGCCCTTCATGGAGAGGCATCTTGCTTCCCTCCTCAGCTGTGCTGAGGGAGCCAGAGGGGGAGATGGCGGGGGAGGGGGTCAGGCAGCAGCAAGTTGAGGGGTGCTGTGCTGTGCCGGGCTAAGGGATAGTGCGCCCTTCCACTGCAGCAGCCGTGTACTCACTGGCGGCAGGAAATGCCAAGCCTTTGGCTCTCGCGGTTTAGGCATTACATAGATGTGTGTGTGCGGGAAGCGGGAAGCGAAGGTAAAAATTGAATGAGCGGTTCTGTTGCCTATGCAGCCCCTCCCTCCTTTGCTTGCTTTGGGCCACCAGGGCCCCTGAATGGCTTTCGCGAGGGATCTCTCTCCCCCCCACTTACACACACCCTCCTTCCACAACTGCTAATGGAGCCTTGCCTTGCAGCGCTGTAAGTCTTGGCCTTACCTGGCATTTTGTTCTCATTAGCTGCCGCCTCTCAGCTGGCTACCACCTTTCAGCTGTTCGACCCAGCAAAGCAAGCGAAGGAGGGAAGGCTGCATAGGCAACAGAACCGCTCATTCATTCATTCATTTGCTGAGGGGTATGTCACAGAGCCCTGTGGTGGGGGGCTGAGGGGAGGGCTGGCTATGCAAAAGGATGACACAGCCCCCTCCCCCTCCCCCTTTGGATAGGGCCAAGACAGGGCACTGCAAGGCAAGGCTCCATTAGCAGTCATGGAAGGAGGGTGTGTGTAAGTGGGGGGGGGGAAGAGAAATCCCTCCTGAAAGCCAATCGGGAGCCCTCATGGCCCAAATAACCTAGCAAAGCAAGCGAAGGAGGGAGGGCTGCCTAGGCAACGGAACTGCTCATTCATTCATCTGTTTTTACCTTCCCCCCCCAAACACACACGCCACACGCATGCATCTATACAATGCCTAAACTGCGAGAGCCAATGGATTGGCATTTCCTGCTGCCAGCAAGGACATGGCTGGTGTAGCAGAAGGGGCACCATCCCTTAGCCCGGCACAGCACGGCACCCTTTGCCTCGCTGCCACTCGACCCCCTCCCTCGCCGTCTCTGGCTCCCTCAGCGTAGCTGAGGAGGGAAGCAAGACGCCCCACCACAGAGGGCCATTGCCCGAGGAGCCACCTGACCCATTCCCCACGTGGTGGTTCATTGAGAGCAGCAGAGGAGGAGACTCCGGCTGAGAAAGCAGAGCACAACACCGTCAGCCTCCAAGGGAGACTGGAGGGGGGGAGGCTGAGGAAGGCAGGAGGGGAGAGTGGAGGGGGCGAGCGAAAGAAGGAGCAGACAGGAAGGGAGGCGCCGCTGCCATCAGTGCCTCTCAAGACGAAAATTTTTGCAAGACAACACGTCTTGCGAGTCGCCAAAAAACTCGCAAAATGGTTTTATCTTCTCAGTTTTTCATTGTGTGAGGCATTCGTCTTGCGAGGTACCACTGTAATATGTGTTTAATTCTTTTTAAATACTTGTATATTTACTGTTTAAGCTTTTAAACATTGCCTTTTTAATGATAATAATATAATTTATTGTCATTGTAAGTATATACACAGTATACCATACAACGAAATTCACAATGATGTAAGCAGCCTTGGGTTCTTTTTAAGGAGAAAGGCAGGATATAAACAAACAAACTAATAAATATTACAAAAACTGTTCAGGCAGCACATACAATAAAAAAATCAGGTCCTACCACTAGTAAAATCAAATCGTGTCAAAGGAGTACATTATGTAAAGGAACCAGTTTGCCATATTATTACAAATGCATATAATCTATGAGGCTACTGGTAGCCCAGGGGGAGAACAATGAAGGATGAGCATTGCTGAAGCTCCATCTCTTGATTAAATTAGCCCTATTTGTTAGGCAAGATTCTATGCTTTTATGAACAACACAGCAGTTAAAAATTCAGAAAGGGAAGCAATCTCCCTTTCTGAATTTTACATGCATCTCCAAGCTGAGAAAACTGCTTCTGGTGAATTTGTGTCACTTAAGAGCTTTGGCAAAAAGGTGACAATCCAAACCATAATCACTACAGGTTTTGTCTCGCTTCTGCGGCTTCATGTAGGAAGCTTCTACACCTTTTCCAGAAGTTGTGTGAAACCACAAGAGCTGGAAATATGTAGGAAAGCAAGCAAGCAAGACCTGCTGTGTAGCAAGCAGAGATCTCAAAACAGCCCTTTGCATTTATACCTTGCACTGGCCCAGTTGACTATATCATCTTGTGAATAGTCTTCATCATGTAACTTATCAACCATGCTCTTTCTCCTTGTTGTATCCAGAGGGTGATACAGTTCTTTGAGCCACAGAGCATTATCAACCGAAGAACCTCTAGAACTCTGCAAAGAAGAATGTGAGAATGAGTCACAAACAAAACAACAGTTTCAGAATTGGGGTTGTAAAAATGCCACTGCTTTCCCCCAAGTTATGCTTTCACAGTGTGTTGGACTACCATTCCCATCAATGCTGTGTCCAAGCAGACTGAGGAAGATGGGAACTACAAGAGAACACTTTGGAAAAGCCTGGTCGAGGCAGTCAAAAGCCAATTTCAATTCATTGGTTCTTCAGACTCCAGAAAAGGCCTGGGCAACTTCCCTCAAAGCCTTCCACATATTGCTTACTCAAATTCCTATCCACCCTAACTGAAGAGGTTGAATATGAAAGCAACTGTTTGACAAAATCTGGACTTTGTCCAGACCCATTCTAGAGATGTAGCTCTTCACCCCTGCTCTCCCCCAGATGTTTTGAATTGCAGCTTCCAGAGTCCATAAGAACTGGTCATGGTGGCTGGAGTTTCTGTGAATACAGAAGGAGCCCCATATCAGTGAGGAATCCATTCCACAATTTATCACAAATGCCTGAAACCACAGAGAATAGCAAACCCTGTATACAACATACAAGGAGGTGGGAGAAAGGCCACAGGGCCCACCCCTTTGTATGTTGTAGAGAGGGCTGCAGTAAACAATGGATAACAGAAATTCTGGATACCAGTCCTACAGATATGGGGGTCCCACTGAAACTTCAAGACTGGTCTTTAACTATAGAGGCTATCATTGGGACAGGGAGAAAATGTAGGTCAAGTGCCACTTAAGTCTGTATTAATGCATGACTGTACTCTGTCCCATCAAAGTGAAGGGGAGGTGGCCTTAGGTAAAGGTAAAGGTTCCCCTTGACAATTTTTGTCCAGTCGTGTTCGACTCTAGGGGGTGGTGCTCATCCCCGTTTCCAAGCCATAGAGCCAGCGTTTTGTCCGAAGACAATCTTCCGTGGTCACATGGCCAGTGCGACTTAAGGAGACATTATCAACGGCTCCACTTAGGGAAGTAATGTGACAAGCACAACATCTATCGGTTTCCTGGCCTTGATACTGGAAGGTCCAGCTCTCACTGGCAATGTCTGCTGCATCATTCTCATGGGATCTTTGCAAACAACATATGCTCTTGCTAAACACTTTGTACTTGTCAAGACTGATGGATGCACTGTGTGTAACTACATGTAGAAAGAGCTCAGAAAAGTTACTTTTTATGGCTTAACAACTAGAATTCCTCAGGCAGCATTCAGTTGTTGGCTAGGGAATTTTGGAGGCTTTGATAATGCTTCTTCTTCTTGGCCTATTTGTGGGACAATCAGGCTGTCACAAGGACACTTAGCGTGTCTGTAAGAACAAATGGGAATGTGGGACCTCGTCTTTTAGATCAAACAGCAAGACTGGATGATGAATCCACCACCGCTTTTCCATTTATGGTACAACCTACCTGCCTTTCTGGTGTACTTTTCTTTCTTCTGCCCAGAAAAGATCTTGAAGAGAGAGAATTTAAACATGAGAATTTTTTAAAGGTTTGAATGAAAGCTTCACTCAATGGTGTACAAATGTTTTAGGACCAGAAATATTACAGATTTCAGGGGTGGGATATATATGTATTTTCATATTTTAACTCTCAGGGCAACAATTTCTTTGACTCTTGGGTTCTTGGGCTTATGTCTGATAAAGTTACTTTTACTTAGAAGGTAATTATAATTGCCATGAGCCTCAAGGCTTATCTGCATTCTTGTTGTTCAAATTGATCAGAGCCACTTGGTTCTCTGGATGTAACATCATTGTATATTTAATGTGCAAGTTCCAGAAGCCACTTGCTCCTGCACATGGAAACAAACATTTGCAATATCACTCCACAGCTTGGCAAATTCCTCTTAAGGATGAATAGAATGCTATGTGGAAGCCATTGAGAACTGAGCAATGGGTTTGGATCCTTGACTACATTTAGCTCTGCAGACCTGTATCCTCTGCCTGGCATCCAAATCTTCATCCACATCTGGAGAAGAAGAGCCTTAACAACCAACAACAGGCAGTTTAAGCATCACCACTTTATGGGAGAGAGATGGATTTGGGTACACAGTGTTGCGATAGAGTTTGCAACATGTATATTTGTAGGTTTGGTTGGCAAGAACTGGGTTGGCAAAATGAAGGTAAGAGATCTTTGCAACACAACAGGGAGTCGATTAACATAGCAGGTGACCAAGGCAGTGCACAACTGAAGAAAAGGAAGATTAACAAAAATGTCTTGTGGTCAAATTTGACAATACAGTTAGCATGTAATTAGAAGCAAATTCCTGGAAAAGATGCTTGTTTATCCTAATATGAGCCTTCCTTTACATTTTGAAAATTAGCAGCCGTTTGTTTATATAATTGGTTATGAAGGAGATAAACATGGGCTTCATTTGCAAGTCTGACTAGTCAGCTTTGAAAGAAATGCATGACTGGAGAGACAATATTTTATCAACTTCTAATCACAAAGTCAGCAAGTCATCTCATTTGACCCATAGTATGTTTTTAACCCTGCTATCCACTCCTTGTAAGCTACATTTTTGCCTTTCAATGAAAGCAGAAGTAATGAATTCTCTGTCGCCCAGATTCTGACACCAGACTAATTCCAATGTTAACCTTACCCAGAGGGGACCCAATGACATAAACAGGGCACAAAGGTTATAAAGAAGTTAAATCCTATTGATATCATTGGACCTACTCTAATTAGGACTAGTATCCATTTTAATGCATAAATCTTGCATGCAACATTTTGAGACTAATAAAACACAATGTCTTCAGACAACAATTACCTCTTCTCTTCGGCAGTGCCTTCCCTTGCTTTAGCGGCAGAACGCTGAGAACAGATCTGTTTAACAAGAAAAGTTTGGAAAGCCTGTGAGTGACAACTGTTCTGTAATGACAGCCCTGCAATTTCTCACAACTTGCGGTGGGGGGGGAGATTCTGACCAGAACAGAGACCTGTGCATGTGGCATGTCTGAGCACTGGGATCGGGGGTGGTGTGGTAAGGAGAGAGGACTATTGAGGATTTGAGGTGTAACAACTCTATCTAACTGGCTAACAATGTGGGAAACTAGAGACTGGGCAAGTTACTTTTGGTACCACACCTCCCACAATCACCAGCCAGTAGCCATGCCACTGGGAGTTGCAGTCCAAAACTATGATTTCATGCCCTGAGGTAAAATATAAGAGATATGAGTATGCATACCCAGTGGAATGGTGGCCCATCTAACAGTGACAGAATATCAGGTCTTTTGAGGACATTCACTTTCCGCTTCAACTCACTGGGACATAACAATTTAACACTCTAAGATTAAGAAGCTTAAACATGCCTTTTTGGCTTACCTCAATTAGACAAATTACTGCTATGATAACCATTATGACCACTGTCACTGAAATAGCCAACAAGAGCTTGTTGTTGTACCCATATTCCGGCATCCCCTGCCTTGATAGCTGCAAGAATCAAGAAAACAGAAAGAAAATGGAAGTAGTTGTTCTTGGATTTTGCATTTTCAGCAACCTTCCGAACCGAAACATCACCTGAGGGACCAGGGGGGCTGGCTTGCATATGAGCAGATTAAGGTTCTTTACGGCTGTCCCATCTGGGAGTATGGTGGGAACAACTTTCAGCTCTGCTGCCACATTCCAGTAGAGCGCAGGGTCTTTGGGTGGGGCTAAGGCACAGGGTGGAGCCAAGGCAAAATGGGAGGGGCCAAACACAAATTTTAACTATTTGCTACAGTGCAGTAGGTTTCAGACATTCAAAGCCTTCCCAGGTTGCAAAATTTTGGTCCTGCTCTGTCTGGAAGCTATTGTTTCTTTTCAGATCCATAGCCTGAGATGTTTATAGCTTATGATTCCATACATTTTCCTAGCACTGTGTCTCAGATTTCTGGCCCTCCTTAAACTCAGTGAAAAGATTTCTGCAAGCCCTCTGACAATTCATATTTTGCCTCTCCTGTCTCCCTTAGAAAGTACTACAGCCTATAGCTAACACTTCCCCTGAATGATCCTTGTAGTCCGCACCAGAACGCCTCTGTTGCAATACTTTTATTTATGAGTCACACACTCCTGCTTTTAAAAATGTAATTGAACTATTTGGGCAAGAGGTTTATGGTATTTCCACCCTCAGGCTGTGGAACATGATATGCCTGAGAGATATTGATGCCTATGGTGTGTTGGACTCTCAATTTTTGTGGCCCACTGCTAGCTTTGATTAACTAGGTATTGCAAGCTCTATAGTGAGTAAAAAACCTGAAAAAATGTCCTCCTTCCTAGTCCCCAACAACAATATGTGTGGGAAAGAGAAGGAAAGCATGCATACATCAAAGGTTGTGAAAACTCTACGATTTTGTTTGCAGATGACTTAGATTATCTCAGGTTCAAAATCTGAACAAAACATTGGGCTAGTTTTAGCTCCAACTACAGCTGACAAACTTGGCTTGTGTTAGTGAATAAGAAGTCCCATTCTTTTCAGTGAGCCTACTCTAGTTGTGAATAAAATTGAATGTAGCCCCTTTATTCCTCCTTCACTGATTCGGCCCACTTGGACTCTCTTTGCCTTTGAGTCTTGTATTTCTTTGTCTCTTTCTGATCATTGGTTGCAGCCTAAACCCCAATCTCTTGCGTAACACCACTCACCCTCTAGAGAGTTTGTATGGGAAAGTCTAACGTGGCACTTTACACAGTAACCGCTTTTGAGAAACATGCATCAGATGAACTTTCAGTGACCGGTGCAAATAGGCCAGGTTTAGCCCCTTACCTCATCAGAAGGTTTCCCCTCATTCCTTTGGTTAGCTGTGCTCAAGTTGCCTTTGAGGGGCCCAAGATATGACTTCAGGAAGGAGGAGGTCTCTTTGAGGTTTTCTCTCTCACTAAAGAGCTTCATAAGGAGGCCTGTCCTAGATATGAGCTTAACACAAGCCATCTTGATGGTGGGCTTCGAACAGTCCATTTTCAGGATCCGGATCACATGAGATATGAGGTTCCTCACTGGCATATTTGGGATGAGAGGCTCCAAGCGCTTGTTCACTTCAGCCTCAAACAGGTCACTCTGAAGTAAATAGTCATCCTCAGATGGCAAGAAGGTGGCCTGTGGAGAAGCAGAGGTTGATTGTTCATGATGCTCCCAACGTGTCTCTTGGGATAGACTGATGTCTGGTGAGAGCTCATTCAGCATTTCAGTGTCCTCAGCTGGCATCTGGGATTTCTCCCCTTTGTGCATGAGACGGTGGAGCTCCTGATCCTTTTGAGAATCCAATTTATTTCCTGGCATGAAATCTTCTGAGCACTCTCTGTTAGGAATATCTGAACAGCGGCCCGGTTGACTCTCTGACAGATCATGCTGGCTACCAGATGCTTCTTCCTCCTGTTTCCTGACTGGATTCTGAAACGCTTCATTGGTGGGCTTTCTTGATTTGTTGGAGTGCTTCAGGATAATAACAACTTTGCCTGTTAAGTCATCTGCAGCATCGTCATCCACCACAATGGAAGCCATCAAGGAGGGAGCCCCTGAGCCCTGGGAACACTTCCCAGCAGGCGGAAATGCAGCAGCTCGTTGATGCCTGAGAAGGGAAGCCATGCTTTCGTGTTCTAGTTCCCAGGATAGCTTCCTCTGTCTGGGCTGAGCACCTCTGTGTAAATCTAGGCTGATTTGCTGCTCTGCATCTTGTTGCATGACAGCCTTTGGAAATTCTGTGCCCCATCCCAGAGATGATTCTCCCATACTGGGAATTTTCCCAAACCAATTGCCTCTCTTGACTTCTTCCTGGTATCTTTTCACTCTCATCAAAGGAGCCTCAGACTGGTCCGAAACTTGTGCAGAGGTTTCTTTTTGCTCTCCTGTCCTTTGACTCTCATTTTCATATTCTGCTATTTTTTCTTTCAGGGCCGCCTGCAGCAATTTGGCCAGGATGTACAGTTTTTTCAGCTCACTTTTGTCTGCCCACTTCACATCCATAAAGTCATCAGCCTTCAGGTTGCTTAATTGGTTGACTGTTATGAGAAGGTGTGGGGTGAGGTTTTGGAAATGGATGCCGAAATGCGAGAGGCCCTGGGTCACTGTGAGTGCCAGGGTCGAGTTGTCCTGTAGAGGCTTCTCGGGAAGAATGGTCAAGGTGCTGCTTGTATTCCGCTTCCTGGTTTCTAAGAGCTTCATGATTTCGTTCTGCATCTTATTTAAAGCCTCTTCTTGGTCTGCATGGGAGGAAAAAAGAGCAAATATATTTTGGAGAAGGAGAAGAAGAGAAGCGTCTGGTGTCTATAGCAGAGATGGGCAGAACGTTTGGAGAAGGATAGAAAAGAGAGGTGCATGACAGAAGTACATGTTCGCATGAAGTTGTACGTGGAAGGTGCTGTATAACTCCTTCGCCCCTTTTACTAGTATCATGAACTCGAACTGCAAAATGGATGCACCTTGGTAAGGAAAGAGATCTACATCATGTGTGATCAGCCACCTGTATTCAGGACTGATGTACTGTGTGTATCATTTCTTCTGTTTTATGATTAGTTTTGTTTTACTATTTTTCAGAAAACAGAAACAGCGCAGTTATTTAAACAAGTAATTGAACAAATACGGAGAGCTTTTCCATGGAGCACCCAGTCCATCTAGCTTTACCACTTGTTGCCACGAATGCAAATGGACCACTTGCAGCAGCAACACGTCTCTGCACATGGAAGGATGCAGGGATGTTGGCAAGTCTTTGGGTCCGAGTCCCAAACCCCAAATCCCTATTAAAACCAAGCTTCTTTTCTCCGGGGAAAAAGGGGAGGGGTGGGTGGGTCTCCGAGTTCCAAGTCAAGTCTGAGCCATTGGGGGAAAAAACAACGGTGTCAAGTCTGAGTCGAGTCACTGGTGTGACTTACAGCAAGTCCAACTTGACAGCAAGTCCTGGGACTCAAGTCCCCATCCCTGGAAGGATGGGACTTCTAAGCACCGAACCTTCTGGCAGAGCTTGTTCTTGCTAAGCCTCAGCTGCCTCACAATTGCAAAATTGTCCAAAGGCAACTGCTCCTCAGCTCCAAAGAACTGCCGTGGTACCACCCTTTGTTGTCTCCAGAAAGCAGTATGAAGGCTTTTCTTTAACATTAAATGTATAGCTATAAACAACAGCTTTGCTCAAGCAAATGTTTGGCAGTAAGTCAACAAGGAAGTGTGTTATCCCTTTGAATGTCAGAGCCAAGGAGCAGACACACTGTCCTGCAGAAGGTCTTTGGGCCAGCCAGCTAATCCTGTTTCTGCTTCATTTCCTCAGCAAGACTTTCATGGTGGCCAGAGTCCCACTGGTGACTTCCACTTTCATAAGGGTAATAGCATTTGGCAGCATGTTGTCCTTCATTAAAAAGTTGCTGGTTGCATTCCTGGGCATGTGCCCATTGCTGGAATGCAATTGGCACCTTGCTAATGAGGGACAATTTGTTACTAAGATTTCCTGGCATTTCTCTTTCATAAGTAAAGATCACTAACAGGATTCTGCTCACTGTATTTTGATAGTACAGAAGGCTACATTAAAAAAAAATGAAAAAGGAGAGGGTGAGCTCTCTCCTTTCTCATGGTGTCATAATGACTATTTGCAAAATGACCCAAATCTATTACAATTAAGTCTCCAGCTTAAGAGGGGGCCAAATCCAGTTTTACTAGGACTGCCCGTAGACCTGTGCTTGCTTCTGCTCCCCTGGCCTTAGTCTGAACATGTCAACTGGTAAATGAATTGCTCATTAATTCCACAGGAAGCTCCTATCAGTGGAATTTTCCATTTGAAGACAAGCCTGTGCCCACTAAAAATGTGAAGGAGGGACAAAAGTTTTCAGCCAACAGAAGGACCCTGGTGAGAAAAATATACATTTACTGATGGGTTTTAATTGTTGTTGCATTGTGCTATGTAGTGTATTATCTTACTGTGTTGCTGAATATCTCATTTTGCATCATCTTTCTTCCTTAAAGTGATAGATGGACAGATGTCACGACTGCACATTCAACAAATAAATATATTACCCTCAAATTGATTGCAACTTATGGGGACCCTTCCCAGGATTTTCTAGGCATGGAGTACTCAAATGTGATTTACCATTCCTGTCTTCTGGTAATGCTCTGGAACCATATATAACTTGCCCAAGGCTACACAGACTGGCTTTTCTCCCATGAGGCACAGTGGCAAATTGTCCTCCCAACTTGTGACTCTGTAGCCAAGTACTCCAACTCTGCAAGCTATCTAGCTAGCAATTCAAGAAAAGAGCAAGGAGGAGGGCTACATTCTGCAAGCTCCTCCCCACCAGTGTACATATCTCATGAATCCCTTTGGCTGATGTTTATACTCTGCGTGCAGATGACGGCAGGAGAGGGTCATGTGATGCATGCATTCTGGAGAAGAGATTACATGCTATGACCAGGCTCCTGGCCCATGTATTCACATTGTCACTTTGTTGAATGCCTGAATAGGAAGCTAGCAAAGGAAACTGAGTTCATGGGAACTGCTCTCAACCTACCACACAGAGTGGTGTTTACGTCGCATGTCTCTGTGCAATCCAATTTGACCGTCTCACACAAAACTTCGGTGTCATCCTGAATATGGCAAAGGCAACAGGGCATCTTCCTGGGCAAGATGCTGTAGAAGAATGAGGAAGACAAACATCTCACCACTTTTGCTCAGTCCTTTCGATGCCTGCTGGCCTCTGAATCCTTCTAGGTCAAGAACAATCCACGCCTCACCACAGTGGTAGGTGGGTGGCACTCTTGAATCTGAGGGCTAGTCCTGTCATTTGTCCTGGTATTGTTCGGTCCCACCCAATTGCCATTATAATGTTCTTCCATGCCTACATTTTCATGGAGAAACTCCCTTTTCTCTCATGAGATAGTAAGAGAAATGAGAAAAGAATCCTCCTGTAAACTGCTCCATGGGGAAACTGACAGCATTAAGAGAAAATGTCCACATCTCGTTTCCTACGGTAAGATTGTATGAGAGCAGGTGGAAAAAGGGGCAAGGGAGGGAAATAAGGTACAGCTAACACCCTTTTCCACTCGTTCCTCACAGTTTTTCTGTCTTTCTTGAAACCCACCTAAAGGAAAGGGTCACAGAGCACTTACAGTGTTTTCAGCCAAATGGAGGTATTCAGTATGTCCACCACGACCTTGGGGACAATCTCTGTAGCACCTAAATCACTGCAAAATGACATACAGTCTTTGTTGTATTAATCAGCA